ATCCATCCATCCATCCATCCATCCATCCATCCATCCATCCATGATGTGTTTTGTAAAGAAGCATAATTTATATTGACCATGACTGATGTTTGATAGCAATAAAACCATAAAACATCCAAAGGGGTGAATGTTTTGTTTAACACTGTACTTACATTATCAGCAACATAAAAAAGTCATGGATGGATGGATGGATGGATGGATGGATGGATGATCCATCTATCAATAATCTCCCACATGTTGGTGATAGACGTCTCCACTGTTTCCTGAGTTTTCACCCGTCTCTTCTCGGTCAGACATGACCAGAAAACATCTGTAGGGAGACACCCAGGGAGCATCCTTACTAACTCAACTGGATCCCCTCAATGTGGAGGAGGAGTGACTAAACGTCTCACCCTATTTCTAAGAGAGAGTCTGGTTACCCTTTGACAAAAACTCATTTTCACAGTCTTGTTCATTCAGTCACTAGAGTTTGTGGCCATCCGTGAGGGTAGGAGTGTAGACCATCCCATAAACAGAGTTTCATCTCGTAGCTCAGCTCCCTCTTCGACACAGTGGACCTGCGTCCACAAAGAACTGCAGAAGTTGCAGCGATATGTCTGTCGAGTGTCGATCTCATATTCCACGTTTCCCTCGCTCCTGAATAAAGTGAAAGAGCTGCTTTCTCTGCTCTAGCTGCCTGATGGATGGCCAGGATTTCCTCAAAGCTAACTGAGAATCCAAGGCCTCACTGAACACCTCTCACATCTGAGCTTTTGCCTCCCACGACAAGGTGGTGATTCACAGAGGAAACAATATTAATAACAATAATGGTTGACAATAATGCAATAACACAGCAAAAAATATTATTATTATTTATTTGTATTTTTAAATAATAATAATAGTAATATTATAATTACAAGAGCACTATGGCTAAACTTTGTGGTTTAGACTTTCCTAACCCATGAAAATTGTCATGAAGCAGCTGCATGGCTGCACACATCCAGATGTTGGCTCAGACAGCTGCTTAAGCCACATGTGGAATCAGAAAAATAAAAACGTCAACAAGATGCAACATAAGCTACATTACAAATTTATTTATGAGGGAACAGATTTTTAACCTTTAAAGAAATATAACCGAACTGTAACCAGGAAAGAAAAAGAAGAAAAGAAAAAAAAAAAGATCCGCGCATGCGTGGTGGCGCCCCGAGTTACCTGCGCAGGTATCATCAGTTGCAGCGTTAGAAGAAGCTGCGCGAGACGACAAGTTCCGGTGAAGCTTTGCATTCTGCCGAGGATGACTTTCCTCCTGTCGTCTTCAGGCCCTCAAGAAGAAATGGAAAGTGCCAAACGAGGTGTGGCGAGGGGCGCGTGAGCCCAGCTGGGGACGAGAAGCGCGCGCCAGTAGATTTATACAGCTGGAAACTGGACCGGAGAAATTCTAGAGAAATGATGTCACTATTGTCTCATTAGGGAGGTGGTCCGCGCGCAGGTGGTCAAATGTCACGCAAATATCAAAAACAAGTCACAACATGATAAATTATTCAGTCTTTTTGCTGTAAAAAAAAAACAACCTCTGTTAATTTAAAGTTTTCTCTTTTGCTTTCAAAACAACCACTAACATCCTTTTAGCTAATTAATTAAACATTTATTTAACAACAACTCATTGTTGTGTTTTATTTTAGAGGTTATGAATGTCCAAAAAGTCATAATTTGAATTCAGATAACTTTATGATGTTTGTTTATGAAGCTGCAGTAGTTCCGCCTTATAAAGAGCTTATGAACAGTTAATATGTTACCTGTTGCAGATAGCTCCTCAGACAACCTAAAATCGAAGGAATAAAGTTTGTCATGTTGATGAGCTACAGCTAGTCTGAGCAGGGCGCAGTCGTGGATCGCATCTGTCTCGAAACAGTTCAATTTCTTATTTTAGAAAAGAGTAAAAAATACAAAAGGTTCATGCAAATGCTGTTTCTTTAAACCTTTGTGTTGCTCACATTACGTCATTTGTTCAGGCAGAACCATTAAGAGAATCCTGCTGGCAGTATGTAATGGCAAACAGACAAACATGTAAAGGTTTTGATGAGAAGCGTTCAGATAAATCGCTGTATTTCGTGTTCGATCTGTTGTTTTGGCCCCGGACTGCTCAGCTCATCGGACCAATCAGAAATAAACTCTGTTTCTCCAAAGTGAGGATGTTCAAAGTGTTATCTACAACAAGTAAGATATTAACTGTTCATAACCTTTTCACAAAGCCTCATCCCAAAACAAGTAAATAAACTTATTTAACTTATGGTGCCACTGTGGAGACGTTTAAAGGGAAATGTGCAGGTTTACTGTCTGATGTTGTGCCATGAGGAAAAGAGAACAGATTCATACAAACAAACTAATTTAAGGAAAAGTCTCGACAGAGTTGATGCTTTTCCAGATCAATTTAAAGTCACCATTTAAAGTCGGTTGGAGTGAAACCAAAGTGACAGCCCGAGCTCTTGTTGTGGCCTGATGTCGCAACGTGGAGCTCCCTGAACCTTCTTGCCAACATCCAGATGATCTGGCTCCACATCTGGATGTTGCTTTTTGAACATCTCGTCTCTTCCAGAGCTGTTTATGCGATCGCACCTGAGGTTGTTGACACGGATGCTGCAAGGCTGACGTCTCCGAGGCACGACATCACTCCCATCTGGCACGTTTGCCTGCTTTCTCCACGTAACATCATGTGATTGTCACCATGATGGTGCTTTTTATTTTTTATTTTTCTGCAACTACTGTTGAGAAATGGTCATTCCAGCCCGCTTGCTTTCTCCTCCTGCAGAGCACGGATGACGAAGACAGAGGTGCTGTCATGTTTTGTTAGGACGGGGGCTCAGATGTGTTTTCTCAGACTGTGTTTACTGGAGAATTGGTCTTGTTTGTGTTCAAAACCATCTCTATAGGAGATAACCAACATGAGGACTTCCATTTGAACATAAAGTGTTTCCTGTGTGTGCAGCTTTTCATGTTTGGGCTGCCTGCTTCGGTGTCTATTAAAGACTAAACTATAGCTTTGTCTCATTGCTCGTGATGTTCTTTATATGGCTTTTTGTTTCACCGTGTTTTAAAACATGGAAAGATGTCAAATCTCTTAATCCAGAGCAGAATATATTTTTTAACACAGTTGTTTAACAAAAATGTGTCACCCTGTGTGTGAGGATGCTGAAAGATAACTGAGAGGTATATAATATATATATACTCCTCTGGATTAAGAGATTTGACATCTTTCCATGTT